CCCTGCAGCAGAAGTGGAACATGTAATGTATGCAACACTCCACACTACAAGTTTCAACAAAGCTGTTCCTTACCAAGCGGAGGTGAATCGAGGAACTTGTAACATTCCTTCAAACATGGCTCCTCCTGGAATGTTCCCGTCTTTGTCTCCAAGTCAAATGACAGCTTTGTAGAGGTCAAACCCTGTCCCTAAATATGTGTGGAAACGTTGGGATCAAGGTTTGAACCCTAAAGATGTAGTTGGAAGTTCCAATTCCACCAGAAGTTAGACGTTGGTTGTGGCAGTGGTCTAAGATTGTTAAGAAGTATGGTGCACTCTGTAGGCATGTACATGACCCTATACATGGTGAAATCGTTCAATATTTGTTACCAGAATGTCTCCGATTACAATTTTTAGAAGGAGCCCATGGCGGGTGGGGCCATCAAGGGGTCCCTAGGACCTTTTCCATTCTTAGAAGGCGTGTTTATTGGCCGAGAATGGCAACGTCAGTGCACAGACATGTTAGTCGTTTTACACCGTGTATAATGGCAAAGGCTTCCCAACCACGCATTACAACACCCATTGAGGCATATGATAGCTTTTCGGCCATTAGAGGGAGTAGCAATAGACTTTGTCAAAATTGATAGAGGAAGTGGTGGTGTAGAAGATGTGTTTGGTCATTACTGACGTGTACACTAAATTCACTCAAGCAGTGGCATGTAGAGACCAACATGCTGTGACTGGAGCCAAGGTACTTACAGACCTTTGGTTTACCAAGTTCGGTGTTCCTACTAGAATACATAGCGATCAAGGCCGAACTTTTGAGGGAGAAGTGATCAAGGAGCTTTGCAAGTTGTGGAATCAAGAAAACTCACACTTCTCCATATCATCCTGAAGGAAACGCTCAAGCTGAGCGATTTAATCGTACTCTATTTGGCTTGATCCACAGGTGAGACATAAATGGCCATACTTGTTATCTCATTTGGTGTTCATGTACAACACAACACCTCACTGCACGACTGGAATAGCTCCATATACTTTAAAGAGAAGGTTGAGTTCTGGGAAGAGGTGAAAAGTAATTTGTGAGCGTTATCATTCTTATTATGCAAGTGTGGAAGAACATTAGATAAGACATGTTCCCTGAAAAGCATGGCTCTTCAAATGCCTTCATATTCTAAATATGTCATGTAACATCGTAAAAATCCGGGTAGGATTTGTACCCCATGTGTTCGTGTAGTCCCATATACATCTTTCTGTGTACAGTGTTTGTAACTTTACTAAGACTTGGCCAAATTTCTGATCATTTTGATGATTCCAGAACCTTGCAATACACACACATTCTTATATGCTAGATGATCAACCTTTTCTGGTCGATTCCACACTGTTTCTTCCACAATGCAATCGCATGACCAGAACTCAACTTCATCTTTAATGTTTGGTCGAGAACCACTCATCCCTCTTGACCGAATTTGGGGTCGTACATATTGTAATTGGAATCAGGAATTTGTAAAGCAACAATCTGAGCTCCTAGAGCGAACTTATCAGCTAGACCAAGACAGAGTCAAGCAGTTCGCTCAACGTAATAAAGTGCTGTACGATGATAAGGTTCCATCTTTTGCTATTAAAGGCCATTCCTATGGGTACCCAAGTACTTTTAAAAAGATGTGCATTTCCAGGCAGGCATAAGATTAAAGATGTCTATGAGAGAGACGAGTATGTTGTTGTATGACATAATGAAGAATATGATGTTTATACTACTAGGCCTGTGAGAGGGGGTTAGGAAAGGGTGGTTCACTGTGGATTGTTACGAATTTCCCCAGTATTGCAAAACAATGACAGAGGCATAGGAGGTAATGATCTTAAGAACAAATGATCCAAATTCTCCAGCCTATGTTGGTAAAAAAAAAAGTAGGGGAGATGGATGATTCAAACTCAGATGAGGTGTTGATTAGGGGGTACAGGCAAGAAATTGAAGGGCCAAGTGTTGGTAATGAACAAGTAGGGGAGATTCCTCATATTTCACCCATGCCTGTAATTCATTCGCCTCCTACCCCCGTGCCTCGGCTGAGTGCGCGTAGAACACGGTTTAAGCATCGGAATCCACTTTGACTTCCACAGTCTAGCATTTGATGTTATTAATTGACAAACTACATGTACATGCACTCCAAACAATAAGTTTAGATGATGTTTTACTCTGAGCTTGAGATGTAAACTTTTGCTATGATACATGTTATATCATAGTTTGTAAGAAAATAGATATGTGTATGCAATATTTTGTGTGTATCTGGAGAAATGACATTACATAAAAGTTTAAAAATGCCACACTGTTTGTGTTTTAATCGAGCATTAAAAATGTCATGGGTCAAACGATTCTTATCACGAAAATAACGGGAAATGGAAGTGTTTTTTTTCAAACAGTCCCGTCGTTACATTGGCGAGAACCTTTTTTTATATTAAGGAACGTGTGCCAGAATCATCTATCCGCCTTTTGTAATGATGTTTTAATTTCGTGGTCATCTTACAGATACTACAACCTGTTAAGTTTAAGGAAATATTGTCTCAACCTCTGTGGTTCAACTCTCACATTTTAGTTGATGGAAAACCATTATGTCAAAAAATTGTTTAATTCATCCTTGATTAACATAGCTGATGTCCTTACACGAGACGCACATTTTAAAACTTTTGAAGGTATTGTTCAGAAATATGTTTATGTACCTATAATACGCTTATACCTGCTATCCCAAATGAATGTAAAAGCAAAATAAGGAGCCAATCTATAGAATAAAAAAAATTACTTAAGTGAACCACATGATGATCGATTAGATAATTCCTAAAACACAAACAAGTTTATAAATTATGTTACTCTACTTTTATACGTAGTTATACTATGGTTTCGTCAGAAACGGATCAACAACTCAAATGGGAAAATGATCAGTCACTACAATTATCAGATGATGAAATATGAAGGTCTTGTTTTAATTTGATATACAGGGTGAGTCAGAAAGAATGTCCCACTTTTTAAAAGTTGTATTGTTTGAAGTATGAACATTTAATTAGGGGTTTAACGATATGTCTTGATAGAGTTATCCTCCCAGTACATTTAGGTACCATTTTCATTTGAATCCTTTCACGCATGACTGAACATCAGACAATCTTTACAAGACTGCCAGATTTCACTTGCGCCAACTTACTGGGTGATGAATAAAACAGTGCATTGAACAAAGACAGGCAGACAAACACACCACACACTCACGCACACACACACATACACGCACACACGCACACACACACACACGCATGCGCACAAACACACACACACGCACACATACACAAACACACGCACTTGCACACATACGCACACGCACACGCACATATTCACACACTCACCCACAAATACCGCAAACGTCGGTTAATAAAAAAAACACAAACAATTTTGGTATTTTTTGAGGTATTTTATTATGGTACAACAATGGCTGTTAAAGTACCTACGTATTGAGATAGCACATTGGATTCATGTGCACTTCATGATGACGATGATGATGAAGATGATGATGATTATGATTAAGATTAAGATGATGACAATGATGATGATATGGTGGTAGTGAATGTGTACTAAAGGGAAAGATTGTCAGGGAAATGCCACTTAAACATTCAGGGATCTTGATAAAAATCAATGCTTAATCAGAAAAGAAAAAAAGATAACAAATTCTGAGACATTTGTAACCTTGTGTGTTGTTTGTGTATGTGTGTGTGTGTGTGTGAGTGTGTGTTTGTGTGTCTGTCTGCCTGTCTTTGTTCAATGCACTGTTTTATTCATCACCCAGTAAGTTGGCGCAAGTGAAATCTGGCAGTCTTGTAAAGATTGTCTAATGTTCAGTCATGCGTGAACGGATTCAAATGAAAATGGTACCTAAATGTACTGGGAGGATAACTCTATCAAGACATATCATTAAATTCCTAATTAAATATTCATACTTTAAACAATACAACTTTTAAAAAGTGGGACATTCTTTCTGACTCACCCTGTATACATCATCAATAGAGAAAAATCTAAGACATTTTCAATTCAAATTTCTTGTTGTATAAAATTGGAATTTTTAATCACAATATATGTAAATTTTGTAACGAACAAGAACAAACAACAATTCATTTATTTTTTATATGCCTTTTTGTTTCAAGATTCTGAAAAAATCTGTATAGTTGGCAAATTTCTAAGAAGATGCTACTCATTAGATTATCACGTATTAAAATTTTGCTTTAGAACATTAGTAAAATAATACTTTTATCTGGTGAACACTACGATATTACATGTATATGGCAAATATTTAATCTGTTCATGAAAATGTCGACACATCGTTCCTTTATTTAAAGCCTTTCTATTTTCTTTAATACAATTACAAAAAAACAGAACGCATGATATCCTTTAAACTCAGCCGTTTTGAGTTTCATGAGAACAAATGGAATGGTATCTGTTCAGTATAATGAACTCTTACTGAATGTTTTTTTTATGAGATGTTCTATTTCACTCAATCATGTCTCTGTACTATTGAAGAGAAATATGTATTTATTTTGAGATTATCTTTTGTTAGAATGTGAATTGCAAATGAAATTTATTTAAAAGAAAGAAGATTTGTTTTGGGGGAACACACAGATACTAGAGAAGACAATAAATGATTGACAACATAGCTCTAAGGGGATATTCGACGGATATTTCAATGCTAATTTTTCACACTACTCGCAGGATAGTGATGCAGTAAATAATCATGTAAACACTCATAATTACGTATTGGTCTATTCATACATTAATAATGTATGAATAGACCAATACGTAATTATGAGTGTTTACATGATTGTGAAGAACTGATATCACAAGCCAGTTTAATGCGTGATCATAACATAAGTTGTACCTATCAGCCGTGTATTATATTTTGTATTGGGTATGTGTGTGTGTGTATGTTGCATGCACGTTTGGATGTTTGTGTTTCTAATGGCAAGGTTCTCTTATTTTTCAAATATCTCAGGTCAAAGAAAAATGCATGGACTCTGGAAGAAAACCTCACGGTCAAGGTATTATTGACTTTTGCATACATAACTTCAGCCATCTTTTTCGATGATCGTACGAAACTCATTTAGTATATAATAAGAGAAAAGGGTAGATTCATATTGAATTGTAATATTTGATATCGTTAAATTAGGAATTTATTGTTCGTGCGCATGAGTAATCAAATAACCCATACCTAAGCCCTACAGGATGCACACTTAAATGATGTTAAGCTGTTGACACTAATCAAAATGCAACATAATGAAGTAAATGAATGGATAAAATAGATTAATAAACCAGAATAACACATAATAAAAACTAAGAATTCATGAAATATTCTGTAATTATCTACGATATTTGTAATCGCTTTGTAATGTGTAGAAGTGGGCTTTTGTCAGTTATGATTTATACAATTTTATTGCCTACGCTTTTCAAAAATTCCTCTAACACACTGCCTTCGGAAAAATGACATTTTTGGGCGAAATAGTAATCAAATTCACATTTGTAGAATGAAGAATGAAGAATTCATGGAATAATCTGTAATTATCTACGATATTTGTTATCGCTATGTAATGTGTAGAAGTGGGCTTTTGTCAGTTATGATTTATAAAATCTTATTGCCTACGCTTTTCAAAAATTCCTCGAACACACTGCCTTCGGAAAGATGACATTTGTTGGCCAAATAGTAATTAAATTTACATTTGTGAGCGTGTGTTTTTCGTTCCCCCCCCCCACACGCACAACGCAGCTGAAAGTGCTCAACATTCCGAACCTTCTGAGCCCAGAACCTTCGAGGAAGTCCTCGCATCCATCGCAAAGAAAAATAAAGGTAAAACTAGACTTTAATTCGTCACTTTGACGAATTAAGTGATACGTATGCTCATGTGTAACATAATAAAGAACGTATTTTCACGATTTCATATTTCGTTTACTACTCCCATTATGGTCTATCCATGAGTCAAGTTTCAACTGTAGAGCAGAGGGAGACAGACCAAGAGAATAAGAGGGACGCAAGGCAAGAGAGAGAGAGAGAGAGAGAGAGAGGGAGAGGGTGAAAGAGAAGAGAGATAGATAGATGCAGAGACAGACCAAAAAAGGAGAGGGGCAGAACATGAGAGGAGAAGTAAAAGAGCAAGAGAGAGGAGAGAGAGAGATGCAATTGAGAACAATGCCTTCCAGATGACCATGATTGAAAGTGGAATAGCGCCCCCTTTAGGTATCCGATTGAGGATTGTTATATATGATAATTGACATGTCACCTATGATTGAATTTTTTACTATGATAACGTCAATATAATGTTAGATAGTCTACATAAATCTCGTGGGAACTTGTCTCAGCTACAACATACTCACAAATCAACAAAATCCAAGCAGAAATATTGGCGATATTGCTCAAAACACAGAAATGTAGAATCCAGATTTGAGAAAAAGTAATCTCCCATAGGGATTAAACGCAAAAAGTAATGGATTAAGTGAAAATAGGGTAATAATAAAGAAAATAGGGTTGTTTATTACATTATTTGCGATTCTACGTGTTTTAATACTCAAAGGAGATGGTACAGTGAAAGGTCAAAAAATAAAGTGAAGACAAATATTGTTGGAGACACCCGGACTCGAACCATGGATCTCGAGGATGGAAGTCAAGTGGGTTACCGATATACCAAAACATTTCCCATAGCGATTACACGTAAACGGGAAATGGAATTCTGAAATCCTACTTTGCAAGTGAAATATGAGCATAATCCCGGCATCTGATCGAAAAATGAAATGCACACGTGTGATAGATTATTGTCTCAGCTACAACATATTCGAAGTTCAGCACAAACTAAGCTAAGACAACGGAGATTTTGCTCGTGAAAGACAGGAGTGTAGAATCCAGTTTTGAGAAAAAGTCATGTCCCATAGAGAATACACGCAAAATGTGAAAAATTGACATGCCTCCTTAAATCGCAAAAATACGCCATGATTCCTTTGTCAAAATGAAAAATTGTGGTCACTATATTTGTAGAGAATTGTTTCAGCTAGAACATATCGAAATTTGAAAGAAAATCAATCAATATTTACAGAGGTACAATCAATTTTCAAAAAATATGCTGACGTCATAACATGCAAATTAAATTTTTGAGTTTGGAGGACATTATGGTGACGTCATGAGTTAATTGAAGGTCAAATGAGACATGAAATCATATTTACGACTCATAATCTATCTAAATATGAAAAAATATTGGGAGTTGCTATCTATTCTGAAGGGTTACAAAGAATTTTGTATAGGCATGTTTTTGCTCATGTATTGTGGATAAAGATAACTCAGGTCCGCGCGCACTGTCAACTTTGACGGACGCTCATTGCGTTATTAAAAGATGAACAAGTTATCAAAATGCTTGGAAAAATGTGCCTAATAAGATGATAGAGAAAATTCGGCGATTCTATGTAGCAAAAGGCTAGTACGCGCAAAAAACGCGCGCGCATGCGCGTGAGCTCGATTTTTTGTCAAATGCTCCATATGGCCTGAAACGTATGCAAAAAAAATTTGGGATGATTTAGAGCATTTTAAATTTTTGCGCGCGCGTAAACGCGCGGACGAACGCGCACGCGCGCATTTGCGCACGTTTTTTGGCCTGAAATTGACCGGACGGATATTGATCTTAATCGTGATAATTATGAATGAGAAATACTTTTCCGTTATGAAGATATGATCATTAGTTGATTTTCACCAAATGGCGCCTGGATGACGTCACGATGACTTTGAGTCTTTGAAAAGTCACGCAGTTCTAAGTTAGACTAAGATCTATCATCATTGAAAGATTCATAACAATGGCTTCATTCAGTCTTGAGATATCCTGCGAACAAATTCGAGGAAGAATAATAATAAATAAATAATAATAATAAAAATCTTGACGAAATCAAAAGGTGATACGTAGACCTCGTTACGTATCACCTAAATACTAGCGGGGATATGTTGATGGCTTCTTTCTCAAGCAAAAATAGATTATCGTAGAAGCCGTCAAATATAAACTTAAAAACCCTCTTATAATAGCTTTACCCATTGTAGAGATTTTTTTCTATGTGTCTCACTTTACAACGTCGATTTCCTGTAGAACGTAAATATGAAATACATAATATATATGTTTTGGTTTAACCACACAATGCTCTGCTGACAATCTTTTCTCTATATCTTGCACTTTCCCAATTCATAAGTTCTGGTGCGATTAAAACAAAACCTAAATTACCTTTACGTTAAAGGTAAGCATTAACCAAAATCACTTCTGTTTTTATACACTAAAAAAAGAATGGAAAAAAAAAGAATAACATAGGACACTACTAATTGTAAATTGTTTAAAATGATAAATATATATCAAAGTAAAGGATTGTTAATACTCTACCAACATCAATTAAGATCAAGACCTGAACTTTCACGCTTGAATGAGAAAGTTCCATTTACCTGTAAAAGATGTGATTAAAGAAAATTTTAAAAAAAGAGCAAGTAGCCATTCAATTACTTTGAGACTTCCGGCACATGAACTTTCGTAAAATCACATCCCCTTATTCTCGAAAGGTTTGGCTAATTGTGCACAAGAACTTTTTAGGTGATACGTACGTAGACGTATCACCTTTTGATTTCGTCAAGATTTTTATTATTTATTTATTTATTTATTTATTTATTATTATTCTTCCTCGAATTTGTTCGCAGGATATCTCTAGACTGAATAAAGCCATTATCATGAAACTTGCCAAGATGATAGATCTTAGTCTAACTTAGAACTGCGTGACTTTTTAGAGAGTCAAAATTATCGTGACGTCATCCAGGCGCCATTTTGTGAAAATCAACTAATGATCATATCTTCATAACGAAAAAGTATTTCTCATTCATAATTATCACGATTAAGATCAATATCCGTCCGGTCAAGTTGAGGTCAATAAAAGTGCGCAAATGCGCGCGTGCGCGTTCGTCCGCGCGTTTACGCGCGCGCAAAAATTTAAAATGCTCCAAATCATCCCAAATTTTTTTTGCATACGTTTCAGGCCATATGGAGCATTTAATAAAAAAATTACGCACACGCGCATGCGCGCGCGTTTTCGCGCGTATTGGCATTTTGCAACATAGAATCGCCGATTTTTTTTCTGTCATCATATTCGGTACATTTTTCCAAGCATTTTGATAATTTGTTCACCTTTTATTAACGAAATGAGCGTCCGTCAAAGTTGACAGCACGCGCGGATTTGCGTTATCTTTATCCACAATACATGGGCAAAAACATGCCTATATAAAATTCATTGTAACTCTTTAGAATAGATAGAAACTCCTAATATTTTTTCATATTTGGATAGATTATGAGTCGGAGATATGATTTCATGTCTCATTTTATCCTCGATTAACTCATGACGTCATCATAATGGCCTCCAAACTCAAAATTTCAATTTGCATATTATGACGTCAGCATATTTTTGGAAAATTGATTGTATCTCTGTAAATATGGATCAATTTTCTTATTAATTTTGATATGTTCTAGCTGAGACAATTTTCTACAAATGTAGTATTCACAATTTTTATTTTTGACAAAAGTATCATGGTGTATTTTTGCGATTAAAGGAGGCATGTCAATTTTTCGCATTTTGCGTGTATTCTCTATGGGACATGACTTTTTCTCAAAACTGGATTCTACACTCCTGTCTTTCGCGAGCAAAATCTCCGTTGTTTTAGCTTTGTTTTCGCTGAACTTTGGATATGTTGTAGCTGAGACAATTAGCTATCAAAAGTGTGCCTTTTATTTTTCGATTAGATGCCGGGATCATGCTCATATTTCACTTGCAAAGTAGGATATCTGAATTCCATTTCCCGTTTAAGTGTAATCGCTATGGGAGATGTTTTGGTATATCGGTAACGCACTTGACTTCCAACCTCGAGATCCCTGGTTCGAGTCCGGGTGTCTCCAACACTTTTTTTTCTCACTTTTTTTTCCTTTTGACCTTCACTGTACCATCTCCTTTGATTATTTAAACACGTAGATTCGCAAATAATGTCATAAATAACCCTTTTTACTTTATTATTACCCTATTTTCACTTAATCCATTACTTTTTGCGTGTAATCCCTATGGGAAATGACTTTTTCTCAAATCTGGAGTCTACATTCCTGTCTTTTGCGAGCAATATCGCCGTTATTTCGGCTTGGATTTTGTTGATTTTTTAGTATGTTGTAGCTGAGACTATATGCTATCTAAATCAACCCTCATTTTTTCAATAAGATGTCATGATCATCACGATCATCATTATCATAATGATGCTAATCATTTATCAATTACATTTTCATTTCTTTGAATAAGATAAAATCGTCAAAAGGTGTTCTTCATGATGTAAATTAGAGTCAAATGTGTAACTGGTTACTGCACAGGGTCAAAGGTCATATATTGTTTCAATCTATCTTCCCTAGATCCATAAGATCAAGGAGACACAATTTAATCTTGACATATGAATAGATCATAATGGGAGAAGCATATGAATGGGAGAAGCAAAATAATATATCGTGTAATGCATTATTCGTTATGTAAACCATTATCATACATATCACCTAAATCGTCTAAGTGACGAATTAAAGTCTAGTTAGGTGATACGTAACGAAGTCTACGTATCACCTATTGATTTCGTCAAGATTGTTATTATTAGGTGATACGTACGTAGACGTATCACCTTTTGATTTCGTCAAGATTTTTATTATTATTTATTTATTTATTTATTATTATTCTTCCTCGAATTTGTTCGCAGGATATCTCAAGACTGAATAATGCCATTATCATGAAACTTGCCATGATGATAGATCTTAGTCTAACTTA